AAGCTGATAAAAGCGAAAAATGATGCTGAATTAACATCTCTGCGCGAGAAAGTTGATAAAATGAAAAATCTTGAAGAAGAGATAAAGGATCTGAAATCTCATCTTGAAGATAAGAACGTCGTTATGAATCAACTTTCTACTGTGCAGAATGATCTTTCTAATGCTAAGGCAACAAGCAGCAATCTGGAAGGTAAATTGCAAAAAATGGAGGCCGACAAACCTGGAGTGCGTCAAAGAGCGGTTAGCCGTTATATGTCATCGGTAGAATTTTGCAGTAAACTGCAAGATCGCTTTGATGGTGGGTGGACTGCCGCTCAGAGATGTGCTGCTCATGCTATCAGCCTGAAACAAGAAGACTGGGCAAAAATTGAAGCGGCGTTTAATAATGATGCCCATAAGACACCTTCTGGATTTGAACAACAGAAGTTCTCAGATGAAGATATTTTTAATCTTGCTCCTTCTGTTGATATCGGCGTTTCCAACCCTAAAATCTTAGACTCTCCTGAACCTGAGAACAAATTAGCTTAAAAGGGCGGGCAGCCATCACCAACATCATCTTATGGCTCTTGTGTTATGGGGCCTTACTCATTGTAATTTAAGTTTTTGTTATATATTTTTAGAAAACTTGTGTTTTTGACAATGCTATTTTATCGGCATATACCCTTTTGTGGTGATGTCTGTCGATCTTGTTTTAGCTTTGCCAAAACATCGTTTCTTTCATAACACTATGTTTGAATAACTTCAATACATTTATGCTTCTATGTAGTTTTAATTAATGCTATAACTGCCTTGGCTCTAACTCTTATCGGTTTTAATCATTCAACCTAAAATCATTTTATTTGAGTATGCAATTCGTACACCATACTTGATAAATATAGTGATATCTCTTCTCATATCTCCTTTTTTGTAATCTGGTGATAAACTGCAATATGGGGTGTAGTATAGCCCCTTACTTCTCCCCTTTTAGTGCAAACATCATTTTCATGATGTATGTACTTACAGGTTTTTTTTTGGATACGGTAGTAGTTAATATTTTGTAAATCATTGGTCACTTGTGCAACTATGTAATAGTTTCGCAAGTACCCTTATCGGCGATCATGTTTTAGCTGCGCCTCATGTCGGCGCATACTATATAATGATTTGGCTGGGATTTTATATTGAACCAACAACCTCGTGAATTAACGAATACAACTGATCAGGTTATAAGTGCGTTGTCATCACGGAAGTGGTTTTTGGCTGTCCATCCCAATTGACGGTGGTTTGTTAAATGGAGGATGTCTTTGTACGCATTATAAAATGGATTACTGCGTCTACTTTTATTTATTGTCACAAATGCACAAAATATTTTTACATTATACAACTTTTTATACATAATAGTTTTTAAGAACTGCCGTATTCCAGACATTCTTTAGTGGTTTTCCGTTTTCAGATTCCAGATAGTATGATCCTTGCATTACCATATCTCTTATCCGATATGGACCTTCCCAGGTAGCTGTTAACTTTCCACCTTCATTTCCCTTTCCTGTTGCCGATGTTCTTCTTAACACCAAATCTCTGATGGCCAGTGGTCGGTGATTAACTCTTTTATTATAGGCTCTTGACATTCTGTTTTTGTATGTGGCCGATTTAACTGCTTCTTTTTCTCTTACTTCTGGTAAAAAATCTAACTGTTGTCTCAATAGTAGATCATTTTTCTCTTCACAGTAATGTTGTATCCTGAATGTCGGTAAACCGACCTCGGTTGGTATAACGGCTTTTGTTCCGAAAACCAAGGGGAAAGGGGATTCTCCTGTTGCCTCTTTAACTGTTGTTCTATTTGCCCATAAGATCTCCGGAATCAAATCTGCCCATAACCCTTTGGCATCTTCGATCTTTTTCTTTATTGCCATTACTATCTGCTTATTAGCTGCTTCTGCTTGGCCGTTTGATTGTGGATGGCAAACTGTTGCATACGCAAACTTGACTTTGTACATTGTCAGCAAAGCTTTTACAGGCTTTCAATCAAACTGTGACCCATGGTCAAAGACTATTGCTCTCGGAAGGCCAAATCTTGTGTAGATATTCTTCCAAATAAACTTTCTCACCTCTGCAGCTGATATTGTGGTTACCGGCTCAGCTTCGGTCCATTTGGTGAAGTAATCATTACCCACCAGTAAGAATTTTCGACCTCCAGTTGCTGACGGAAAGGGACCAACTATATCCATTCCCCATTGTGCAAACGGAACTGGATCCAATATCGGCGTTAGATCATTCGGCGGCTGATTCAGAATAGGTGCAAACTTTTGACATTTTTCACATTTTTTAACATAAGAAGAAGCATCCTCATTCATTGCTGGCCAATAATACCCTCTTCTCATCACTTCCCTTGAAAGAGCTCGTGCCCCTAGGTGATTTCCGCAAGTTCCCTCATGGATTTCTTCTATTAACCTTGCAGATTCTTCTGCCGTTATGCACCTTTGTAATGGGAATGAGAACCCTCTTTTGTAAAGTTGGCCTTGGTATATTATAAACCAAATGCTATCTTTTCTGATTTTTCGAGCTTCTTCTTTCTCTATCGGCAAAGCTCCTGTCAACAAGTATGTTAGGATTTTGTCATACCATTGACCCCCTAGCTTAATACAATGAACGCCCTTTGCCGACTCGTCTATGCTTCTGTGCTTCAGAACTTCTACCATAACAGTTCTCTCCAAGTCATTAAAACTTGAACTGGCTAGCTTTACTAGAGCATCAGCCTGCGAATTTTGTGCTCTAGGCACCAATTGAACTTCGAAATATTGCAGTTGGGCTGTAAGCTCATTTATTTTTTCTAGATATTTTATCATTGCCTATTCTCTTGCTTCGTATTGTCCACTAAACTGACTGGAAAACAATTGTGAGTCAGTTTTGAGAATTAACCTTTTTGCATCTGCCGCTATGGAAAGTTGAATGCCTGCTATTGCTGCTTCATATTTAGCTTCATTATTTGTTGCTTTGAACTTGAACTTCAAAGCATACTCAAAAGTTTCTCCATCTGGAGCTGTTATCACAATGCCGGCTCCAGATCCTACTAAGGTTGCTGAACCATCTACAAATACCTGACACGTCCCTAATTCTTCCTCCTCATCATTGTAAGAGGTTTCCACGACAAAATCCGATAAGACTTATGCTTTTATTGATACTCTTGGCTTGTAATACAACTCGTACTCTGATAACTCAACAGCCCACTTCAATAACCTTCCCGATGTATCCATTTTTTGCAATGATTTTTCTAATGGATGATTCGTAAGGATTTCTATCGGATGTGCATCAAAATAAGGTCGTAATTTTCTAGCGGCAACAACAACAGCAAATGCCATTTTTTCTATCACTGGATATCGTCACTCAGCAGCATTAAGAACATGGATGACAAAGTATATCGGCATTTGTTGCTTGGCTCTTTCAACTAGCAGGACCGAGGCTACTGTTTTTGGTGACGCCGATATGTACAATTGTAAGTATTCTCCCGGCTCCGATCGTGCTACTGTCGGGAGAGACTTCAAATGGTTTCTTACCATCTCTAAGGCATCAGCTTGATCTTTTCCCCATTCAAATGATTTGTTCTGTCGCAGAACCACAAAAAACGGGAGTGCTTTATCTGCTGATTTGCTAATGAAGTGCGTTAAGGCTGCCATTCTTCCTGTTAATCTCTGGATGTCTCGAATTGACTTAGGTTGCTTTATTTCAAGAAGAGCATTAACCTTATCAGGATTTGCATCAATGCCTCGTTCACTAACCATGAAACCTAAAAATTTTCCAGATCGAACTCCAAAAACACATTTTTCTGGATTGAGCTCAATCTGATATTGCCGCAAAGTTGCAAAAGTTTCTTTCAAATCATCTATGTGATCTTTTTTAATCTTGCTTTTTACTATCGTATCATCTACATATACTTCCACATTACGGCCTTTTTTATTTGCAAAAATTTTATCAACCAGCTTTTGATATGTTGCACCGGCGTTCTTTAGCCCAAACGACATTGCCTTATAGTAGTATACCCCGACATCTGTTATAAAAGCCGTTTTAGGCCTATCTGCTTCATGAAGAATAACCTGATGATATCCAAAGAACGCATCTAAGAAGCTTAACATCTCGTGGCCAGAAGTTGAATCTACCAATCTGTCTATCCATGGCAGCGGATAACAGTCCTTTGGGGAAGCTTTATTTAAATCTGTAAAGTCCATGCACATCCGCCATTTCCCAGTCGGCTTCTTGACCATTACGACATTTGCTAACCATTCGGGATAAGTACATGGTTCTATAAATCCTGTCGTTAACAGCTTGTTGACTTCTGCTTGAATGGCTTCGATTTTCTCTGTTGAGAAATTGCGCTTTTTCTGCCTTACCAGTCTAAACCTTCGATCTACATTAAGCTTATGCTCCATTACCTCCGGATGTATGCCAGGCATATCATTTTCCGAGAAGGCAAACACATCTGCATTCTCCCTTAATAAGTTGATCAGATTACACCTCATTTCAACATCCATATCGGCCTCAACTCTAACTGTCTGATTTGGGTTCCCCGGTCGGAGCTCTACCTGTACTTTCTCACCTCCTGGTGACGGCCTCGATGCAGTTTCTGGCCTAGAGTCAAAATTCTCCATGGATAAATCTCGCACCGTTGGCTCTCTTGCTCGCTTCGGGTTGCTCGGTACTTCTCTTTTCTGCCCTGGATTTTTCAGTGCCGTGACATAACATGATTTAGCCATCACCTATCCGCCATGTACCTTTTCTACAACCCCTCTATTTGACACATAAGCAATAGTTAAATGGTAAGTTGATACTACTGCCTGTACGTCGTGAATTATCGGCCTTCCAACAATTCAATTATATGCCGATGGTACATCCACTACCAAAAATTCAGCCATTGCATCTCTTGTCGTTATACCATCTCCGAACCTAACAGGGAGAACTATACTCCCTTCTGGCCTTACTGTCGAACCATTAAACCCAATCATCGGATAAGATACCGGCGTTAGATATTGTCAACCTATCATCAACTCATTAAAGGCCTGCATAAACAAAACATTCGCTGAACTTCCTCCGTCAACTAGAATTCTCTTCACATCAGCTCCATTGATTTTTGCTATTAATACGAGGGGATCATCATGAGGAAAAACTATTCCTTTTGCATCTTCTTTGGTAAAGGTTACATCTGGAATCTCAGACGGTTGTGGGCGATTAGCGACATCTAGTGCATTAACAATGTGCCGATGTTCCGATAGGTGCTTCCGTGCTCCACTTATCGTCCCTCCGTGAACTGGTCCACCGGTTATTACATCAACTTTTTTTCCAGTGGACGACGGTGGTTTCCCACCTTCACCTTGTCGGCTCACTTGCCCTTGCCTTTCTGGCCTGAACTCTATCTGATGGCGCTCTAGCTGCCGGTATTGTTGCTGTTGACTTTCACCAGAGTGTAACCGATATTGAGTGAGATGCCCCCTTCTTATTAATTCTTCTATATTATCTTTTAACTGCACACAGTCTTCAGTGTAATTCCCCACATCTCGGTGGAACATACAATATTTCTTGGTATCCCTTTCTTTCGCTTTCATCGGCATGGGCCTCACCCATCCTTCTTGATTCTCATTTACAGAATATATTGCAGCCCTCGGTGCATTCAGAGGTGTATACGAATTATATCGCATTGGTGCCTTGGTTCCTCTAACCTCTTGACGGCTTCCTCCCCTTGTTGCGGTAGGATTCCTCGGCCTTACAACTCCTGAAGATCCCCCTTCAGACATCGGGTGAATCCTATCGGTAGAACTAACTCGGCTGCTTGTTTTCATCAATTCTTCGCTCTTAATATAATCATGAGCTTTTTTGAAAGCTGCAGCTAATGTTGGCTGATTTTTTCGGGTTAAGTATCTTTTAAATTCTGAATCATTCAGGCCATTCATTAGTGCCATGACTGCTATCTCCTGCTGCAATCTCGGAATTGTATTGGCTTCATTATTAAACCTCCTTATGTAATCCCTTAGAGATTCATCTGCCTTTTGAGTAACAACCATTAGCTCTCCAGAAGTTCTCTACCGAACACTATTACTAACATACTGCCCCACAAACATTTCGGCTAACTGCTGGAAACTATGGATTGCTCCATTTTCAAGATTATTAAACCAATCGGCTGCTGCTCCAACCAGAGTGGTGGGAAATACTTTACACCAAACGACATCAGAATTGGTATACAAAATCATGTGACCCTCATATGAGGTCATGTATCTACCTGGATCTCCCCTTCCATAATACCGACATGTCGGCATTTTGATTTTTTCCATCAGTTGATCAAGGATGCTCTGCGCAAATGGTGATGCCCTCAACTGAACTACTCTTCGCACCACTCCTTGCTGATAAGTCCCCGTACTTTCGTCTTGACCTGAGGATTGAACCTCTAATTCTCTAGGGGTCTGCTAGGATCTTATCGGTGACCCTTCATGCCGGCGTCTTTGCGAACTTCCGGTCTGATTAAATTGATTGCCATGAGTTTTAAAAGGCATCCCTCCTCCATCTTGGGTTGCTCCTACTTCCTTCCTTTTTTTACTCATAGCAGTCATCACTCTTGCGGCCGTTTCCAGCTCTTCTGATGTAAATCCAGCCATAGGGTCTGCATCTGCTCCAGTCTGCCTTTCAGGAGTTAACGACATATGAAATTCGTTACCCTCCAAAGTATGAGTTTCATCCTCAATCTGAATTTCTGGATTAGGCATTTTTTCTCCATTTTTTTTATTTTTTTATTTTTTATTTTTTTTTATCAGAAGGTATGAGGCTCTTTTAGGCGATAGAAGCTATTAAGTAGCTCCCCCTCCTTCTAGCGCCAATTGTTTCTGCAGGAATCCGATGACCCAAATCCAAGATCCGAAGCTCGAGTGTATAACCCGTTCTGCTCCTATCGGCCAAATAAGAACCTACACACAGGGAAGAGATTAGCTAGCCCCGGGGTGAATCTGGGGATAACCACTCCAAAGATTAAGTCAGCAAGTGTTTATAGAAAGAAGAAAGAGATTATTTAGAGAGAGAAAGTAGAGAGAAAGAGAGTGTAATAAATGTTACCTTATTTATGAGGTAAAACCAGATTATTTATAGGTTGATTAAGTGACGGGTGGCAGTTTAATAGGCAAAGTAATTTTTACCACGTGTCAAACGTGAGAACGACACGTGTCAGCTGCTTACATGCCGATATGTATACTTTATACATAAATGCCGATATTAACAAGAATTATTGATGGATCGGATTCAAATAGTATATCGGCCTGTCATACAATATCGGCTTATTAATGTAACTGTTATATAAATATTTCCCCATACAAGTATTATCTTCTGTTCATATTTAATTTCATGGTCCTTGATGCTCCATGTAGTGATATGTTTTCAAATTGCACGATGTATGTATCAATGTATGGTCGTCTACTATTGCTTGGTATCACAGGCCTTAAATTTTCATGAATATAACTATGTAAGCATCTTAATTAACTTACTCGTATACGTATTGTCTTGTTCGATTGGTACATAAGTTTATCAAGAAATGAAAATGGTAAATGCAATTCTTAACTAACAATCAAGTTTCAATTTTTTTTTTTTTTTTTTTGAAACTATAAAAGATTATTTGTAATATTAATTAATTGTGTGATTTTGTCATAAATTTATACCAGTATTGTTTTAAAACTTGCATTTAAGTATTACGAAATATAATTTTAAGGATTACATACATAACTCTGTAATTTACCAAATGTTAATTATGCTAAAGAATGATTATTATTTTGGAGGTACATTAGTTGCAAGATAGACTTGCAAGTATATCCGATCATATGAATTCATGACAGCATTATTCCCAAGAGGTTTGGTCAGTTTAGCCTTATCTCATAACTTAGAGTTGTTGGTAATACTAATGACCAAAAATATTTAGTACTTCACAGGTATAAAAATCCGGATAATGTTCTTAAGAGTTCAAATAAGTAAAAAAAACTTTTTAGAGGGTGTAATATATTGTACAAAGTATCAAACAAAACTTAGCATCACCAATTTCCTTACGAATAGTACTTTGCACTTTACTAGCATACACATGTAGAATCTCCTTTTGGTTTAGTGGAGATGTGTATTTAGCATTCTTTGGGGCATTGTCCAAAACAACATAATCAACTTCTTTATTATATGATGCCAAAAGCTTTAACATTTCCAAAAAATTCCCTTGATTAATCGAGCTAGAACGCCATCATGTCCTCTAAATGCACAAACTTGAAATGTTAACCACTTAACAGCATCTATTGATGTCTTAAGGCGTAACCGATTTCTAACTATTTCCTCAGCATTTTGTTTTTCTACAATTTTTTCAAGGTGACAAGATTGGTTTTTTAGATTAAAATAGCACTTTGTTGCAAAATTATGGGCTGAATTAGAATCCTTCCCCATATGACACAAAAATGCACACTCTTTCCCACTATTAACTTTCTTCCAATTTTGAAAGCCCTTTATTGTGAATGTATCCGAGCCACATCTCCCAAGAGGTTTTTTTGCAAAAAGAAAGCAATAAAAACAATAGGCAGCATCTTTTGTCGAAGAATATTCTAACCAAGGAAACTTCTCATACCAACTTTTTTGAAACCTACGTGGATGTTTTTCGGGACCAGAGTATGGGTACTTAGCAAGTTTAGGTTGATATGGCCCAAAATCAATGTATGCTCTCCTAATTAAATCCATTTCATCATAATCATAAGTTTCAATTTGTTTACGCAAACCAGGATCACGCATTAAGAAATCAACTCCAACACCCTCTTCACTAGGTGGTTGTTCATTAGCAGTGCAATCAACATTAGGTTCAACAATTGGCTCATCTTTATCACTAACCTCAATTGGTTCAGCATTGTCTGAATCTTCCACAATTCTCTCTCTTTTTTTGGGAGAAAAATAAGATGTAATAGTCCTCTTTGTTACCATTCTTCAAATCTAAATGAAAGAAAATTACAATAATTCAGTAAATAAGCAAAATCAAATTTCTTGCAATTTTTAATAAAAATTAAAGCCTAGAATTTTAACTCTTAAAATTAACATAACCTCAATATATATGATTATAATTGTGCAATTAACATTAAATTCAACATCAGAAATAAGGGGAAAAAAAAGTTCACAATCAATTTACCTGAAATAGCTTGAATAATGTTGAAATTGAACAATTGAAGAGAAGAGGAAGAGTCGCCGCAAGTAGATGAACTGATGAAGGCCTAACTGAAACTTTTGGGTTTTTTTGTTTTACATTAGAAAAGCGATTTCTGTTTTCCACCCTTTGTTTTGTTTTTTTTTAAATTATTATTATGTTTAGCTTATACAAGAAGCTACTTTTAGTTGGATATCTCGTATAATGAGATTAGGAAAGGTAGTAGTCAACTTTCTTTATTTTTATTATTTTATTTTATTAATTTTATTAATAGGACAACAAAAGGCCCCACTACATTTCATATACAAGTAGTAGTACACGGTGTCTTTTAGGAAACTTTAGTTTAATTAATTTTTTTTAAATTGTTGAGGGAGACCACACATACATATCCTACTATAATATACTGTACTTTCTAATGTGTAGCATTATAGTTGAGGGGGACCAAGGCCCCCTTTGGCCCCTATGATGTTCCGCCATTGGTACTACAAACAGTATTCATTAGAGTTGTCTCAAATTTAAAAGATATATTGGGGATAACTTGCAAATTACAAGTATGAAATCTAAATCCATATTTTGTGATGCCATAGCTTTGTTAATTCTCGAAACCGCAAGTTTCAATGCAGGTTCTGTAAGAAACTTGGGGAAAATTGCTTCAGGTAGAGAGTTTCAATTTTATAATTCTGCCAGTTTTTCTTTTATCACATTTGCTTAAGGTTTCTGATTTACTAAATTGAGCTGAACTGAACTGAACTGAAATGAATTGGTTGGAGCTGAACTGAAATGAACTGATTAGAGCTGAACTGAACTGAATATATTATGAGAAAAGGAAATTAGTAACTGAACTAAACTGATTGAAGCTGAACTAAAAATAAGCCGAAGAAAACAGGCTCTAATTCTGATTGTTAAACCTAGAGACTCTCCAAGGTTATAAATTTTAGGAAGTGAAGGCCCCCTTCAATGTAGAAAATCTCCTTCCTTGAGGCTTCGGGATCCCCCCCCCCCCCTCCTATGAAGACAGATGATATGTTTTCCCTCTCCAACAAGTTCCTACACACTACAAGTCACTCGACTGGCTACTAATCTTCCCGCTTTATCAAACCAAGTTGTTCCTCCTGTTGTTTTGTCACATTTAGATTTTAACCTATCTTGGGGCTTTTTTTCAATTCTCTACGCGGTACCCATTAACCAATCAATGACTTTGTCCTTTTGTCGTCCATCTCTAGGCTTTCAAAAATCAAGTGGCAAAATGCGTTTTCTAAACTCTTACCTTTTTTATTTGTTTGGTTTAAGGTTTAGCCATGCATGGAGATGAAAAACTTAAACTTAACTCTCTTTATGTTTGACAAAATGAGAAGGGTAAGGGTAATTGTTACATGTACTCAACCTTCAAACCAAAGCTTAATAACAATAATGGTTTGATTGAACGCCCCTTAATTGGAAATGGAATCCGAGTCTTATTTATCAGCTTACATAGTGAGAAATAATTAAAGGGAAAATACAAGTTAATCTGCCAGATAAACCAATTTTTGTTAATCTGATGGCATTTTTGTAAATATATTGAAAAAGCTGGGTTATTTATTCAGTACTTTTGGTGAGATGTCCAATTACTGTTTGTTTTTTGCTTTTAATGTTTGGTGAGGAAATTACACATGTACCCCTCAACTAATACATGAAAAGACGCATATACCCCTCCACTGCTACATGAAAAGACAATTATACCCCCAGATGAACAAATTTTGTTTATCTGGAGAATTGACTGGGTATCCCTCATAATTAAATAGGTTAATTATAAAATAGGAGGTTAATTTATTGTTAGCTTAGGTTCTTGACACGCTTATTATATTAAAAGGTTAGCAACGTCTTTATTTTATATTAATTTATGACATTTTGTAAACACTTTGTGTAAAATCAAGTTTCTTAATAAATGAGAGAATAATATGTTGTTGTTGTAGCTAGCTAGGGTATACATGGACTGGGCGCGTATTCATAATAAGGAGGGTAATTGTAAAAAGAGGTCTTTCTTAAGCTTTGTTTGGTTCATTGTTAGTAAAGGAAAAGAAGAGAAAGGAAAGGAGGGGAAAAGAAAGGAGGGGAAGGGAAAAGAAGGAGATTTTATTTCCAATGTTTGGTAAATGAAATGTAATGAAGGAAAGAGAAAGGAAATATGCTTTAATTTTCTCTTTCCAGTCGAATTCCTCTAAATTTGGGAGGAAAGGAAAGCTGAAAATTTGTAAAGAGGCTTTCCTTTCACTTCCCTTCCTTTCCTTTAAATTTTCAAGTCATTCATCAAACCAAACATGGGAACATATTAAAACCTTTTCCTTTCTTTTCTTTTCCAATCAAATTATTACTTCAACCAAAAAGGGCCTTAATGTTGAGAAATAAGGAAAAAGGATGAAGAATTAGTGATTGATGTGCTAGGAGAAATTACTAATATTTTGAACTAATTCAGTATACACATCACATAATGATTAATGACATAAATAAAGAGGCTAATTAAAATATGTAATAAATAACCGAGATAGCAATGCTAAGACAATATATTTAGATAGCTCACGAGCCAAACGATGAAGGTGATCATCGAAAAACATTAGATATGTTCAACTAGTACATATCTAGAAAAAACAAAACAAAACAAAAAAAAAAAAAAAAAAAAAAAAAAAAAAAAAAAACCGGCTCTCCCGCTAAATTAAATAAAATAAAAAATATTTAATAAATTATAACGCGTTCAGCAATGTGAGCTAAAGATCTAAGGTTGAATCCCACCAAAGTATCGGCCAAAAAACGAGTCTCCTCCTCATTACTACCTCTTGCAACATCAACCGTATACTCTTCCGTTACAATTGTCCTCATTTGGTCACCACCTTTTTCTTTAGCCTCCTCTACTAGAGAAATCGTTCCTTGGTAATTACTAAAACGTCGACTATGATCACCGGCTACAAGACTAACCACCATCACATGCTTGTCGTCGTTGAGCTCATCAAGCCTCTCGATGCTTGTCGTGGATGGGAACCCCGTTATATGGGATTATAGGTTATGTCACGTATGGATCCAATTGTGTTAGTTGAAGAGCGCGAAGTACTTGAGTTGATGAACATTTTGTACGCTTTTGGGTTGTCGAATTGACGGACTAAGGACCATACTACGTCAATTGGTGCATAAATAGCTTGTTCCACGCTAAAATTGCATTGTATTGAAGGTATAATAACATTTGTTTGTAAATATTGCCCGATTTGGGGGATGATTACAGTCATTTTGTATGTTAATTTTTTTGGGGGGTTGTTTTGATATAAGAATATGCATGTTATGTCATGTATTTATAGCAATCCGTAGATTTGATATGACCAATACGAAGCGGCTAAAGGATATCGTTCTAACATATTATTTGAAAATGGTTATTAAAATAATAATTTATTATTTTAAAAAAATTATTACATGTATGGGTTTTAATGTTTTATAAAGAAGATATACTTTCTCTTTCAAAAAAAAAGAAAAAAATATTTTCTTACGTAGTATATACTTGTATTCTCTATGGACAGTTTGCATTTGAATAACAAGTAGGTACTCTGTAATATTTGCGGTAGTGGGACGAGTTGTATCTCACAGCCTTGTTACTATGGAATACTAGATAAGGATGGTAACAGGTCGGATTCAAAGCGGATTATGCTTAAGTTGATTTTGACCTTACACATTTACAGGAAGTTGGAGGCTAAATCTGACTCCAAGACTCCGACTCTAATCCGACTTCAAATTTAGTCTTCGACTCCAACCCGACTTCGATTTTTTTTTGTTATTCAATATACTTTGAGAAATTAGGCTATTTAGGTGTTTGCAATTGACACACACTACCATCACGACCCACACCCAGGTCCACGATCCATACCCCTCACCACCCACACTAACATCACCTGCGACCACCCACAACCATCATCCACAAATACCCAGAAAATTAAGGACATTTACATAGAAAAGTTTAAAAATTAGTCTCAAATACTCCCTCCGTTTTTTTTTATATGCATCACTTGGGTATGCACATAATTTTAGGAGATAAATATAATATTGTGAGTGGGTGAATAAATTATTATAATAAAAGTATGATGGGACCATAAAAGAGAAATTATATGAGAGAAAATAGATATTTTATTATTTAAGTGGGGACATAGAAGAGAGAGAAATGATAAAATAATTTGAGTGGGATTTAAAGTAAGAGAGAGAAATAATAAAATATAGTATAACTTTACCAAATATAGAAGTGATGCATATAAAAAAACACCCATAAAAGGAAAGTGATGCATATAAAAAAACGGAGGGAGTAATATATAATCAAATTATTTCCAAAAAAATTATAATTAAATAACAATCGGTGTCCAAATTTTTGTAGGAATTGACTTTGACCCTACTCTGACATGGAGTCAGACTCAGATTATGTTTTTCTCCGACTTGAAGCGAATTTTTTTTGTCAAATTGAGGCGGAATAGGATCGAATCCGGATTAAATTGTCATCCCTACTAATAGGATAACTAAAAAAAAAGGTAATTAACAGTATTAAGGATAAATATATAAACATTTTAAGAGTACAAATGTATGCACACTATCTTAAGAATTTGATCAAACTTTTTAAAAGATAGGGAATTTGGATTATGAAAAATGGTCTACATTTGGTGATCAACTATGGCTCAACCCTAGTCCAATCCGATTCAGCTCAAAACATTTTTTTTAGTTGAAAACTCAAACCATAGCCAAAATAAACCGTTTTTCAACAGAATTAATATTAAGGTCTAGTCCGGCCTGGCTCGTTTTTTTTTTTTTTTTTTTTTTTTATTTTTTTTTTATTTTTAACGAAACCTTTAATAAAAGAACAAGTAGCGGAAAACGCTTGGCTATGAGGAAGACACAAAGCACTATTGCTCGCCGCTGATAAAACAATTGGAATTCGCAAGTCTTGGTCGGCACTACCGGTCAAATTGGATATTGCGTTAAATTTTTTCTTTTGAAATTTATTATTACAATATATCTATTGTTGCTGTTGTTAAGTTGCATATAAATCTTACTCCCTCCGTCTCTAAATTACAAATTTTTAAACAAATTGGGTGTATAATAATTATTATACATCCATTATAAAGATAACCTAAAGTGATTAAAAGTTACCTCTAAAATGAATAAAAGTTACCCCAATATGAATTAAAGTAATCCAAATTAAATAAAAATTATCTACGCTTTATTAGTAAAGAATCAAATTTTAAATGACTAAAATTCAATTATTAGTGATTGAATGTAATTAAATTACCTTTATAAAACTTTTCTTGTTGTTGATTTATATAAAAATTGTAATATGTTTAAAGTTACCAAAAAAAAGACAAAAAGTTAACCTAAAATTAGCTAAAAGTTACCATTAATGTAAACCGGATGTATAGAAAAGTTTTTTGTTCCTCTTTGGAAATTTACACGAGAATTAAGGAGGAAAAAATAGGACAAATAACAATTACAAACTTTCATATGCGTGTGGCCAGCCACAAATTTAATTTTTAGGGTATTTTCATTTTTACCACCTTCAAATAATGACTTTGTCGAATTTACCACCTCCAAAAAAAAACATTTACTTTACCACCTCATAAAAAAATTAAACATCAGTTTTACCACCTCATCTGAGCTCAGGTGACGGAAAACGCTTGTGGGGCCCAGCATAACGGCTAGTTTTTGATTTTTTCCCAAATTTCTCTCGATTTCCCTTTTATTTAAACCTAGTTCTTCATTTGCACACCAAATTCTTGCAGATTGGAGATTAATTTTTGCGATTTTCTTCACAAATCAGTATTTTTGGGCAACCTTAACAATCCCAAACCCTCTAATTATCAAACAATCAATTGAACTCCTCGACAACAAGCATCAAATAGGTAAGCCATTGTCGTTAATTCTCTAGCAATTTTCGTGATTTCTGTTGTAATTTTTTGGCAATTCGTTGCGTGATTATGTTGCATTTGGTAAGAGTAATTGAAATTGGGCGTTTTGTGAGGTCAATTAAACCCCAATTTGAATTAAAATACTTAGGGTTCATGTAAGATTAAATTAGATTGGGGGTTTTTGTTATGTGAATTGGCTACTGAAATTAGGGTTATATTATGGTGATTGTGTTCAAATACAATTAATTTCATTCTTGTTCTTACTGAATTTCAGAAGGGAATGTCTTCAGTTAGCATGTCACCCTCAAAGGAGAAAAAATGCCAATGTGGAGTTCCAATGTCTAGGCTGACTGCTTGGACTAGGGAGAACCCAGGACGCAAGTTTAGGACCTGCAAATTCTATGATCCTGTGACTGAGTCAAGGGGGTGTAAAGATTTTGAGTGGGTGGATCAACCAGATGGAACACCTTGGCAAACAGAGGTGATTAACAACTTGCTGCTGGACAAGAAACTAATGAAGGGAGAGCTGAATGACATGAAGAGGGAAGTTGATGATGTTAGTGGACAAAGGAGGTGCTTGCTCAATGAGATTGACAGCTTGAAGATGAAATGCAAAGCTCTTAGCTCAGACAGGAAGAAGATGATCAAGGAAGTGCATGGCAGCAATGCAACAACAAAGAAAATGCTCACAATACATGCTATTGTTGTGTTTTGTTGTTTTGGTTTGGTACTGGCTATGTATTTTAGATCTTAGGTTCATTTAGGAATGCTTAGAAACAAAAAAAATCCCCAACTTATGTTGTGTTTTGTTGAATTATTATGTGTGGATGTTGGGATGACATTTCTTGTACTACTTTTAACAACATCAATGAGAAATGGAACTTTTTGGTAGAAACATATCACAATTCGTATTAGTACTTGCAACACAATGTTTGAAATTGTTTTACATTGGCTGAGACAAAAGTTAAGGCACCTTTGTGCAAAATCATTGTTCAACTACCAAATAAACTTGGTTGTCTATTACAAAATACTAATGAGTAGACCTAGGGTCACAGTTGATTGAGATCCTTGTCCTTCTTGCTTGTCATTACATGAAGCTTGGACCTGGTCTGTATTTTGACTTTGGGAGGAGTAGTTGTTGGCACTCTTGTGGGCTGACTCAGGCTCCTGTTGCTCCTGGTAACAGGCTGAGTTGGCAAAGGCTATGTTCTTGTTGCAGGCTGGCTTGACACAGCAGTTGCAGGTGCAGCATTACTTGACCCAGCCTGTGCTGTTGTTGGAGGCTGATATTGTGGCAACTTCAGTGCAGCCTGCAATCACAGTATGACAAGACTCAGAAACAAAGCCACTAAATACACTCAAGTCACAAAATACACAAAATACCTGTCTTGCTGCTTTCTCTTCACTTTTCTTTCTCTGTTCCTTAAGCCAAGGAGTCTGCATCTGTGGCCTCCCACCCTTTGGATTTGTTGCAGGTGGGTTAGGCTGTTCTGGTGCTGCTTCAGCCTTGCATGTTTTGGCAAAGTGGCCAAACCCACCACAATTCTTGCATTGTTTCATCACCTTTGGCTTCTTGCCCTCAGGTGCTGCAGAAGTGCCCTCCCCTGGTTCAAGCTTTCTCTTATTTGCCTTAGGTCTTCCTGGCTGCACTTTCAGCATAGGTGGCAAAGGCTGTCTGAGCTTGACCTTTTCCCAATTCTTAGGGCCAGGCATTGGCTGTATTGGGTTCTCATATGCAGCCAAGTATGTCACCCTATAGTAATGTGGGTGCACATACAACTCAGGATCATCCCTTTTGTCCATTATGCAAGCAAATGCATGGACACAAGGTATTCCTGTCAACTCCCATCTATAACAAGTGCATTTTCTCTCTTGCAGATCCACAATGCACTGATCATCCTTGTATTTCACCTCATAAATTTCATCCCTTGAAGCTGTAACCTCACATGTCATGGCATACTTCTCCAACCCATCAAAGACTTTGTTGACAAATGGGGTTAGTAAACCTTCCCAAGACTTTGCTGCCTCCCATTTGTCATTACTCCTCTTCATCATATATCTTCTAAGCCATTCCATTTGAGTTAGAATAGGCTTGTCTCTGGCATCTCTAATCACTGCATTAAATGTCTCACACATGTTGTTTAACAACATGTTAGACTTGCAGTTTGTAGAGAAAGCATGCCTTGACCAGTGCTGGGGGTCAATGTTTGACAACCACTGGTATGCTTCTTCATCCAAAAAATTGATACTTTCCATAGCAACTTCAAACTCAAACTGATACAACCACACACATGACAACCATTCAACACAACAACAACCATGTGCAAAACTAAATGTTCCTAGCATACATTATAGTTCACCATAAAACTGACATAAAAGAACCTAAATAGAAGCTTACCAGAGTGCTTGCCCTAGCAGCAGTCCAGAACAATTCCTTGAAAGTTGCACCATGAAATTTCAGTTTGAAATTTGACCAAATATGCCTCACACAAAATCTGAGCTCAGCTTTGGGGGCCACATCTGCAAATGCTTCTATGAGACCCTACACACAAGGCAAAACTAACAAGTTAGTGTACAGAAAATTCAAAAGCAAAGTAATTTAAACACAAACACAACCCACTTACTTTCTGTCTGTCAGACATAAAAGTCAAGCCATCTCCTTGGTCATACACACAAAGTGCCTTGAGCAAGCTCTCCAGAAACCAGCACCAGCTGTCCTTGTTCTCAATCTCTGCAGTTGCCCAAGCAATTGGGAAGATGGAATTATTGCCATCTTTTCCAACTGCAACCAAGATCTGCCCAGGGTATGCCCCTTTTAGATGGCACCCATCCACCCCAATTACTGGTCTGCAACCAGAAATGAATCCATCCCTAAGTGCAGCTAAGCACACAAACATCCTCATAAAAATTGGTCTTTCAATTTGATTAATATCATCCACCACCACATTACACTCACTCCCTGGGTTCCATTTCAGCAGTGCCTTCCCATAGTCCCAAACCTTTGAGTATTGCTCTGATGAAGAGCCATATATTATAAGCTTTGCCCTGCTTCTAGCCAACCAAGCCTTGGAGTATGTAATTTTGATCCCCAAGTCATTCAAGGCCCTGTCCTGAATCTGTTTAATCTTCTATCTGGGGTTGCCCCTGAACTCCTCCAAGTACCTGTCAACAAGGAACTCTGCTGTCACCTTGTTGTTCATTTTACTCCTAACACACCTATGCTTCAGCCTTAGTGTCTTAATTTGCCAAGCCTCTGATTTCACAAGCCTTGTTGCATAAAACTTGAACCTACACCTAACACCCTTACTACATGTACACTTCACTATCCTACAATTGTTCTTGTTATACACACACTTGCATTTCCTTTTGCAATATGTTGTTAGCCTCTTTGAATCATTGTGAAGAAGGTAATACTCATACCTATTTTCAATTGCATGTTGTCTCAAAGCTTTTCTCATTGTTTGCACATCACTGAACCTTTGACCAACTACAAATTTGATAGCCCTTTCAAAGTCTGTCTCAGGGTTAAACCAAGTAACACTACCCTGATCATCATCTGAATCACCTTCCACACTCTTTAGCTCATCAGAATCACAAGTTGCCTCCTCTTCAACCATCACTTCAATTTTCTGTAGATTTCTTTCTATGTCAAACCCTGTGTCCTCATCATCACTTTGATCCCCTCCTTCACTAACTCCCCTCAAACTGCCTTTCACCTCACTGTTAATATGGTCTACATTTTTCTTCAACCACTGTTCATCATCATCAGAGTATAAGTCCTCCTCTCCCTCATCAACTTCTAACTCAAAATCACTCAACTCAGAATCAGAAGACTCTGTATCACCATCCTCATCACTAAACACATCACTGTCATCCCTTAAGCTCCTCACTCTTTCTTTTATTTTTCTCACTAAATTAGCTAAATTTCCAGTCTCATCCCCAACCTTAGCCTTACCCTTATCTGCAGCAGTGAGTTTACCCTTCCCTTTATGTGTATTAGCATTCACTTTCTCTGCCCTAGGAAGCCTCTCCTCAGCCTCTCTGTCATGTATAACAATGCCTTTTAACCTAGGGCTTCTCCTAAATAGCTCTTCTTCAGTGGGCTTACTAAGTTCTGGGCTGGGTTTGTATACTTTAGGCCCACCAAACCTCTTTTTCAGTTCCTTCCTTTGTGCAGGGGTTAGCTCATTCCCAGATATACATTTGAAGGGTGTTTTGTTAGTCCCTTCAATTGGCTCATGACTGGTAACATACATCTCACATGCCCCCTCTTTGTTCACCGACTCTAGGAAACCATTCACCTCACCATCAACAAGCTCCCTTTTACCATTCACCCAAGACTTGCCTTTTTGTTTATACCAGCAACTAAACCCCCTAGGAACCTTCACATTCACATACACAAACCCATGTATAGCTGCTTGCCTCAAAAAGTGTACATCTATCTTATTTTTTTCCACCTTTCTCATCCAATAAACCCACCCACCATCCCAAGTTAACACCCTCCTATTTTTACCAGCTAAAGAAGGTATAAAGGCACCCCCTAATGTAATTTTTAAGTTCACTGTGTCCATTCTGTAACAACACCAACAAAAGCACACACAACAATAACCAATTTCAGTAATTACAGTAAACAACAAAAACCAATTCACCAATTACAGCAAGTAAAAGCAATTCACATTGACTATGCACTAAATTAACAGTAACCAAGTACATCTAATTAACTAATTATTTAACAAATGCACACTCTAATTCAGTCAAAGATTCGCATAATTAGGGTTTATAATACTTTAATTCACAGATTCCCCAAAAAGGCATACTTTACCCCAATTGACAACCATAAATCCAACGAAATGTACTAATAAAGGGTTTAAAGTACCTCTTGTAGTCAGGAATCTCGATTTCTGTCAGCAAATTACCAAGCTTTTGGTCCCCTCACCCTGTGGAAGATGACAAGAGAAGCTGATGTGTTGCAATTTTGTGGTTCCAGCTCGATTTCAACCACCCAAATTGATCTAGGGTTTCAGTTTTTACAGAGAGAAAGAGAAAATTCAAAGGAGAGAGAAGCAGTTACAGTGAGAATCAAGAAAAATCAAAGGAAAGAGAGACGAAAATTGATGAGGAAGTGAGAAATTTGGTGAGACATTGATTATGGAAGGTGGAAGGTGAGAAAAGGAGGAGACAAAGGGAAATCGATTTTAAACGAATTAAATTGGAGGGAAGTGACAGTTAACTGGGACCCACAAGCGTTTTCCGTCACCTGAGCTCAGATGAGGTGGTAAAACTGATGTTTAATTTTTTTATGAGGTGGTAAAGTAAATGTTTTTTTTTTTGGAGGTGGTAAATTCGACAAAGTCATTATTTGAAGGTGGTAAAAATGAAAATACCCTAATTTTTATTTAAAAAAAAAAACTGTACACCACTTTCTTTCTTGTCGAGATAGCAATAATTTAATTTTTATTTAAAAAAAAAACAGTACACCACTTTCCTTCTTCTCGAGATAGCAATTGGATTTTCTCTCTCCTCTTTTCTTCTACACCACAAATATGGGTTTTTAATTAGGCGAAGATCGAAGACGCTCCTTATCAAATTGTTGCAATTAATGGCCGAAATCATTATTATTGGTCGCTGAAACACTGATTGCCAGTGGATTGGAAGTCGAAATTGTTGTTGCTGGCTGTTTGGTTGCGCAGGGGAAAAGAGCAGGAGGAGTTGTAGTTTAATAATGGACTTGAGAGGAGGAAGAAGAAGTCAAGAGTGAAGGAATGGAGGCAGAGATTCACTGGACTACAATCGTCAATGTCGTCATGCTACTTTTTTTTCAACACAATTTCCTAGCTACTTGACAGCAATCAAGGAAATATATATGATAGGACTTTTTATTTTGTTTTTATACTTATTTTTGGGGTCAATTTGCACCCATTCAATTTCATAGATTTTGGAAGTGCGTGAGAGGGGAGATGGTTGATTGTTGTGGTGGTTGGAATTGGTGATTTGGTGCTGCTTTAGTGGTGGAATTGGTGGTTAGGTCCAGGGTTACTAGGTCGGAGGGGTTACTTGGTCAAGGGTTATTAAGGTTGGAGGGGTTACTAGGTAGATCGGAGGGATTATCAGGCTGGAGGGGTTACCAGGTCGGAGGGGTTAGGGTTACTTGATCAGGGGTTACTAGGTAGGTCGGAGGGGTTACTTGGTCAGGGTTACTAGATAGGTCGGAGGGGTTACTAGGTCAGAGGTTACTAGGTAGGTCAGAGGTATTACATAGTCAGGGGTTACTAGGTAGGTCGGAGGGGTTACCAGGTCGGAGGGATTACTTGGTCGGAGGGGTTACTTGGTCAGGGGTTACTTGGTAGGTCGAAGGGGTTACTTGGTCAGGGGTTACTAGTTACTAGGTCATCAATAGAGGTTACTTGATTAGGGTTTACTTGTATGTTAGTTGGCCACACCGTGTGGCCAGCCACACACAAAACCTGTTGAATAACAATAATTAGATAATGCAATGGGAAGTACAAAGATAGATTTGTTATTACTCATGACATGTCATCAATCCTTTGCAAAAAAAAAAAGGACCAATCACATGCTCCTAATTGAAATTTTTTAACCAATCATATTCATTGTAATTTGGCACAAGGATTATGAGTGAGATTAAGTAAGGATGAGTGAGAAAGCGTTAAATATTAAACAGAAAAAAGAGAGTTCGTTGATTTACTAAAAAAAACTTACCAAAAATAGAAAGGAGGAATATAATTTAGGGACGGAGGGAATAACTCTTAAGGATACTAAAAAAAAATGATGTATTCATCTAAAAGGTTTCATACAATAAGTTATAAAGTAAACTTAAAAATAATATTCCCTTCGTTCCCGATTGATAGTCACTTTTGTCATTTTGGTGACTCAAAATGTTAGTCACTTTTTTTTTTTCAAGTACCACTAATATTATTTTTTTTTTTACCAAAATTCTCTAAAATTTGTAAAAATATTTGTACAAATTTAACTTTCCCATGTAAATTTTACTTTCCTATGTACTTTAATTACCCCCTTCGTCTCCGAAAGAACAACCCGTTTGGATTGATTACGCGGGTATTAAGAAAGTTAAATAAAAAGAAATAAAAGTATATTGAAAAAATAAATTTACATGGGGTTTGTAAAAAAATAAAGAGAGAAAGTAATAAAAATTTTATATGGGGAAGCTAATTTTGCACAAATATTGTTACAAATTGGTGGGTGTTTAAATGCAAATGGGTCATTCTTTTTGGTACTAAAATTAGGCCAAATGGATCGTTCTTTCGGGGTCGAAGGGAGTACTTTTTCTCTCTATTTCTTTGCATACCCAATGTAAATTTACTTTTTAAATGTATTTTCTTTATATCTCCTTAATTCCCGTGATTTTTTGGGCAAAAGTACGTGACTATCAATCGGGGATGGAGGGAGTAATTGGTTAAAATTTACATAGTTTGCACCTATGCACCTATTCTGTATTTTTTTATGGTAGTTTTATTTATTTATTTATTTATTTTGACAATATATGATAGTTTTTTGGTTAAAAGAAAACTAAATCAAACGAACAAAGTATTTATACCATTACATTTTTAATTGCGTATCAATAAATTGTTTTAAACCTAATATGTACACATTAAAAGTTTGTTAAAATAATTTTAAAAAACAATATAGTGATATATATTCCGTATTTAGCAACCTTTACATTATTTTTTGTTACTCCATAGTATATTACTCTGTACTACTAAAAAATTATAGTCAAAATTAATAAATAAATAATTAAAAAAAAAAAAGTCAAAATGTGTCAATTATTACAGAGTAAGGCAAAAGCCCCGAAGACGTTGGATAAACTAGCTAAAAGTAGAAAAATTAAATTAAATGAACATTAATTACATCGATCGACGTGTGATTTTGTCATGCTTTTCCAAATTAATACAATTTTAAACAATATTTTAAATGAAAATGCTAACGAACGCCCCGGGGGCGTTGGATAAACTAGTTAAAAGTAGAAAAATTAAGTTAAAACTAACATTAATTACACCGATCGACGCGTGATTTTGTCATGCTTTCCCAAATTAATATCACTTTAGGTACTCTCTCCGTCCCTAAATAACATTCCTCCTTTCTATTTTGGGTATTTCAAAATTACATTCCACCTTTTTTAGTAAGTTTTTTTTCTCTAAATATCCCAAATACACTCTTTTTTCAGTTGTACTTTTAATGTATAATTAATGTATTTACATTCCACTTTTAATGTTTGGTTGCGACTAATGTACTTTTTCAGCCTTTAATTTTTCAGAATCCTTGTGCTAAATTACAATGAATATGATTGGTTAAATATTTTCAATTAGGAGCATGTGATTGGTCTATTTTTTTTGCAAAAAGTTGATGACATGTCATGAGTAATCACTAATCTATCTTTGTTTTACTCAAAAATATTATTTAATGTTTTGTACTTCCCATTGCATTGTTTAATTATTGTTATTTGTCTTATTCTTTTCTCTTTAATTCTTGTTTAAATTTCTAAAGAGAAATGTAATTTAGGAACGGAGGGAGTAAGATTTTAAATGCTTATCCAACGCGTGATCCTATTTTAAATGCTTTTGTGAAGATGCTTATTATAAATTGAAGAAAGTGTGTTGATATACTCGAACTAATTGCTTAGTGGATTATTGCCTTGTCTCTTTAATATACTTCCCCCGTTTTTCTTTTATTGCACCATAAGGACTTTTACACTATTCACTTAATTTCTTTGACCATAATTTGTGATTTATTCATTAGGAAAAACATAATCATGTGGATCTAGTTAGATTAGTATCGAAATTTACTTTTCAAATATCAAATTTTTATAATTTTTACAAAAGTAAAATTGAAGATATTAATAGCTAAAGTAATGTATTGGGAAGTGTGAAATCCCTCATGGTGCAATAAAAAAAGAACGGAGGAAGTATGATTTGGCGAAGGAAAAGAATTATTATAATCACAGAAGTTGAGATCACAGAATTCAAGGTGTAAAAAAAACGGGAATAGAAAACGGCAAAATCGAAACGTTTCATAAACAAAACAAGTGAGCTTCGAGTTCAATTCTCAAAGTGGAAACATATACTCCGTAAATAGGAACTTGCATATGAGCGGCTTAGGCGTTGGATTATGGATTAGCCTTATGCACGAGATATGTTCGGTAATCTAAAAATTAATTAATTTTTTATTTATTTATTTTGTCAGTCATATACATTAAGAGATAAAAAAATGGTAAGGAGTAACAATTAAATTTTAGATTGAAAAAAAAAACATAATTTAGGCTCGTACAGTCGTACTTGATTATTTTTATGAACTTAAATTAATTTGATTGAGGTGATATTAATTTTACTAAACTGAAATATCTTGTTGAACTTAAATTATTTTAATGAAAGTGATATTAATTTTACTGGGGTAATGTTATATGTAGCCCTAAGGGCTACATATAAACATTAAATATACTTTTAGAAATTATATAAAATTAGGAATTCATGACAAAAACATGCGTAAATCAGTGTTATAAGTGTTTATATTTTGATGATATCTTAACTTTTTACAATTTTCAAGTGTAAAATTAATGCTTATATGTAGCCCTAAGGGTTATGTATAACATTTTTCATTTTACTAAACTGAAATTATTTTTTTACTGAATTCAAATAATTTTTACAAAATATCTATTACATACTGTAAAAAGCAAAACAAAGATGACATTTTCAATGTTGTAAAAAAAAAAAAATTGTATCAAAATTATGGAATCTGTTTTATATAAAATATAAATATTTTCCTAAAATATTACACGGCTCATCCTGTCAAAAATAAATAAATAAATAAATATAAGTATAAATAAAATTACACGGCTCATTATACTATTACATGTAATTTAAATATTTAATCTTGCATATTTTTATTTTTATCATACTCCATATTTTTAATACTTGAGAGTTGAGACATTATATTCATAGAATTTTTATAATATTATTGTCAAAAATATTTAACAACCGTGTATTGTACGGAGCTTAACCTAGTTATTTTTTAAAGGTAACAAGGGTTTAGAGGGACATTAAATTTTAAATGCAATAGATTGATCATTCATTCCCTTATTTTCTTCTTTTTTTTTTTTATTATTTTTTTAAAAAAATTAAGTGTTCTAGTATGTAGATAAAGTTTAACAACATTATAATATTTTAAATTACCTAATTTTTTTCTTGAAGTTGTGTGCGACTACGGCTTGCAACTTTCAGAGTTGTACACAATATATTTAAGGGTTGTTTGGTTGCCAAAGAAAAACATGGGAACTTGAAAATCCTAGGAATTGAAATTTTTTGAAGTTGTTTGGTTAACAAATTCATGGGAAGTAGAAATTCCCATGAATTTTTATTTTCCACAAAATGGGGGAAGTTAATTACCTAGGGGGACCTAGGTAAGTGGAACTTCCCATGGGAATTTCCACTTCCCTTATTAACCAAATAATTTTTAGAATTTCCTAGGAAGTTCAATTTCATGGGAAATCAATTGTCCAAGGATTTTGTAATTCCAACATTCAACCAAACGAGCCCTTAGTCGCGTGTTAACCTTTAACCGACGTGCTTAAATTCCGTCATTAATCTAGACCTAATACATTATATATTTAAAAAATGGAAACTAATAATCCCACATTTACCATTTTCGCTCAAAACAATCTCACCTTTTCGAAATCTAGAAATAATCCCTCTTTTGACCTGCTTAAAACAGTCCCTATTACCTACAACATGTTTAACAGGTTAAACTTTTTTTTTTAAAAAAAAAAAAATTCCTTTAATCTCTCTCCTCCCACATCACCACCCTCTTTCATGGCAATCCACCATAGCCACCACCACATCACCACTTAACCCCCACCCCACCACCTTATTTCTCTCTCCTCACCACTGCAATTTCCTCTCACCACCGCCAACAACCTGACCAACTTCTTTCTCTCTCCTTGCCACCGCCACTGTACTTCCCCCCCCCCCCCACAAACCCCCCTAACGGCTTCAGTAGCAACCCACACATCTCCACCTTGCCACTCGCCCCACTTCGCACAACAAATGGCAACCATTCAACACCGAACAACCACCTTTCACCAATTCCCACATTAGCGCAATCCTAGCAATGACAGCCACCAATTGCTTCACCTTATCGCACCTTTCACTAATTTCACAACTCAATTTCCATCCATGTAAGCCATCGCCCAAATCGCAACCAAATTTCAACCAACGCCGACTACCACGGCTTGTGAAATTGTTGATGGGGTTTTTCGTCATCGGGAAACTGGGAAAGGGGTTAGGGTTGGGGGCTTCTGTTCGTCGACGTGGAAAGGGGTTAGGGGTGGGGATTGCTATTTGCTATCGGGGAATTGAAGGAGGTGTGGAAAGGGGTTAGGGGTGGGGATTGCTATTTGCTGGCGGGGAAGGAGGTGGGGCTGGCAAGGGAGGTGAAAGGCGGCTGGGGGATGGGTGGACTTCGGCAGGAGAGGTAATTGGGGAAGTAGAAAGCTTTTTTTTTTAAAAAAATTATGGATTTTTATATATAGTAACTTTTTTTTTTCACTTTTCTACGTTGTGCCCCAACATATATCACTTTCTATATTGTAACCCTAATATATTTTTTGTTTCCATACGGTAACCTTGCTGTTATCCCGCCGTTAAAAAATTCCGTTAGTGGGACCCACTCTCCATTATTAGTATTTTTTTATCGATTTGCGCGTTGTAAAATATGTTGTTAAAGGTTTCGAGGGGCTATTTGACCCTGAAGGTTCCAAATTAAGCTCAGATTTGGCAAAAAAAAATAACGTAAATGCCTCATTTTGCTTATTAAGAAATGTCTCGATTTACGTTTTCACATTTTAACACACAAAACGAGGCATTTACGTTATTTTTTTCGCCAAATCTAAGCTCACTTTGGTCCCCTAAGGACCAAAACAACCCTCGAAACCTTTGATGGAATATTTTTCAACGTGCAAATTGATAAAAAAATATTAATAATGGAGAGTGGGTCCCACTAACGGAATTTTTTAATGGCAAGGTTACCGTATGGAAACAAA